GGGAAATTGATTGGAAATAATCGGTTGGTAACGGACGTTACTTAGGGATTATGCTTTCATTAACACACATGGCCGAATTGCGGTAAGGAAAAAAATGTTTTATGGAAGGGTAAGGCCAATAGCCTCATAGTTTCTAAAATTCATTTCTGCTCTGCACTTTCCGGGGCTTGTTTACGTACACTGTGATGTTAGCAGGACAGGAATATAAAGCATGTAGGTGCAGAAGAATGAAATGGGTGAAGAGGTTGCTATCGTCTTTATGTCGAGCGGAAAGCGGAATTCGGAAGAATTATTATTAACCTAACTTGGCAGCAGGTGTAAGGTAATATGTCACTAATTGTTCTTAGACATCCTATGGGTAAGGTATCCAAGACTTCTACTTGAGACTTGCGATCGCGTGTAAAATTCGGTGAGAACTAATTGATGTCCAATTTGCATCGTCACATCAAAACAGTTTTGGCTATTGACGATGCTTATTTATAGGAATTCAGCATTGGAATTTACCGGTGGCTGCATAAATGTATGTGTGCATGTGTTTATATTATTTACATCGATTTGTAATTTGTGCAGTCGCCGTAAATAACCAACAAACAGTGTTGGGCAAAATTATAGCAATTTTATGAACATTTTCTGGCCCCCGAATGACCAGTGTAAGTATTCATTTATTATATACCATATAGTTCCTCGTTCATGTTATTGATGGGCCCAGCAAACACGTACCCCAATTGAGTATTTTAGGCCAGGACATCTCCAATTCCAGCTGCTGTGCACCCGTATTTTCTTATGGCGGAGTACGTGTCCGCTCCCAGTTCCACATCGATTGGACTATTTTTTCGGAGATCAGGGTCAGCAAGCTCGTAACTCGTGGATTCGTAGATGTGTCTGGGCAGAACTTTGATTTCCAATTACCGTTTGTGCGGCGGGGCGAAACGGTGAAGGTGGTGAATCGCTCCCCTTTGTAAATTCGCGATTGAAAGCCCAAGCGACGGAACGCGGCATATGAAATCTTTGACGTCGTCGCAGATTGGCTAATAATGGCTCGCAGCATGCTAAAGCCCTCCATGCCCTCGGCCGTTTTCGTACCATAGCTGTTGGTACAAATACCAAATCCCACGCGAAACTGTGGTGGTTATGGGCTTCATGTTGAACGACACTTCGTCTAATTGAGACGCCCCGTGCAATAATTTTTTAAATATTTTTTTATGAAAGCAAAAAATGTCGGAAATATCAAATTTTAGAACAAGTTTAGGTTTGTTCGAATTGGTCACCTTTGGCACGAATTGTGGCCTTCAAACGGCCAATGAAACCGTCACACGCTACCCGAATGTTGCTCTGCGGTATTTTGGCCCTTTGGTATTTTTTAGTGCCAACCTTGCTTTCCAAAATACTCCAGACACAATACAATTTGGTGGCCATTGTGGCTGGATATGAAGCGTGAAACATCATTTTGTAACCATTCTTGGGTGGCTCGTGCTGAGTGCGATGGTGCTGAGTCCTGTTGGAATGTTCAAGGTCTCCGGCAAAAATGTTTTCGTTCCCAAGGCTTTAATACACCCTCCAGCCCACACCATCACCATGTCCGGCGCTTGTGTGCTAGTGGCTAACCGAATGTGCTCATTTTCAGCTGACGTCTTTGGCAAGTAAACACAATCATTTTGTTTATTTACAAACTGCTGAACAACGATTGTTTTCTCATCGGAGAAAACCAAATTCTGCAGTTCACCACTTTCGGCCAAGCGAAGCAACTCTTTAGCTCGTTTGAGTCTATTTTCTTTCTGTTGCGATGTAAGTTCTTGCACTTTTTGGAATTTCAATGGCTTTACTCCGATCTCATTTTTTAATATTTACCGAATGGTATATAGCGATATGTTCAGCTCACGAACCATTTTTCGGTCACGGCGACGCGGGTTTCGATCAAGTCGCTTCTTTAATTTCTGCTGATCCTAATGTTTTCCTTCGTCCACTCCCTTGAAGTCGGGCTTCGCTACCAGTATCACGGTAACGAGCGATAGTACGAGACACAAAAAATCAATTCACATTTAAATGCTGGTGTGCTTTAATGATAGCCATTTGTGTTTTTCCAGCAAAATATAAAGAAATCACACTATCACTCTTGAATTCCATCACGAATAACTCTTTTTCTGGAAACTTCTTTTGTACGCTTGTAAACAATATTGTTTGCGCCAATGCGAGGAAAGGGGGTAATGCAAAGCAAACCAATATAAAATAAATAAAAACACACGATAGTGGGGTTATTTTTAAATTTAAGATGAGGCAAAAGCCAGGCTTTATTGATAATAAATAAAAAGGGTTTGGTAAACAATATTACCTTATTTGCACAATATCGGGGAGAGCCTTCGTTCGTATTGACGCGATAGAAGAAGAGAGCGTGTTATAATAACACAACGATCTCAATATGAAGTAAGGAAGCATTTTCAGTCGGACGGTAGTAAGGACTATGACGCGAGCGGTGTCTATAATCCGTATGCGGACAACGCCAACTATTAATTGTGGATTTAACCACGGTCTTCGAATCAACGTGAAGAAGAGTGTGGCGATCTTCGTTGCATACGGCACACTTTATTTTACTACGGCAGTTCCTAGCTTGGTGGGATTTCGCTAAACACCGTATACATTCATTAAATTTAATAACAATTCTACGTCACATGTCAACATTCATGACTCGGAAGTCGCTACATCTATCAAGCGGGGGCATAAGATCACAAAGGCGACATTTGTGTGGGGCCGCAGATGAATTCCGAGGGAATTCGGACCTGTAGGTTTTGGCCGACTCCTCCTAGGAATGGGTAGTGGCAACCAGAGCAGCAGATAGACCCGAAGTTGTCAATTTTAGGGTTAACAGCAGAGACCGAAACCGCAGATGAAGCCACAGATATGGATTCGGACTCGGTTTGCATCGGTTCGACAGCGGAGGCTAGGGCGGCAGATGAATCCGTTCTTCTTCCGAATATAATTTCATCGACATACTATATAACGAGAAGAGAACCATTTTAATTACTAATAGAGGGGTGGTCGGTCAGAATGACCAACATGGTGGTGGGCCACCTCACAACGCCGTTCTCGATTCGGACGTCTGCGACTCGAACTTGACAGTCAGTTCCCGGATGAACATTCACGACTTGGCCTAATTTCCACAGCGTTGGTGGAAGCTGATCATGACGAACAACATCTAGTTCGTCTATGGCTATCTCGCGCTCTTGAAATTTCCATTTATACTTCATGTGAAAATGTTTCAAATATTCCTCTTTCCACCTCAAACTAAAATGGTGGGCGAGAGCCTGAACTTTCCTAAACCGATTAACTGGACTTAATGGTTGCTCTGATGAAAGTTTCAGGCGGTGCTAACAAAGGAGCCCCAATATGAATATGTCCTGAGGTTAACGCGACTATTTCAACAGAACTTTCCAACATCGGGCAAAGTGGACGGGAATTTAAACATGCTTGTATCCTAGCCAAAATTGTTGGTAATTAGTCCAACATGAACTTTAGATTTCGAGCTTGCTTTCGAAAATGTAATTTGAAGCTCTTGACTCTAGTTTCCCATAACCCTCCCATGTGAGGAGCACCAGAAGGTAGGTCCTGATCTGATAACGTGGAAGAGACTGAGCCAGCACTTTCATGGAGGAATTCTCTAAAAATCCTCTGAATTTCCCGCGAAGCTCAAGAAAATGTGTTCCATTATCCGAAAAAATGAAAGTGGGACCCGACACGCAAGTAGACCACTCAAGAGTATGCCTTTTCCGATAGGAAAAGACATGAAGTTCGGCAGACACTCCTGGAATATCTTGGAAACATGATCTAGTTTACCTGGGGGAGATTGTGACAAATTTTTTCCAATCAGCCTCAGTAGCTATCAAAAGTGAATCATGAATTAAACAATTTCGAAATAGCCGAAATATCTTCTCTCTTAGTGCAATTGGATTTATTAATTATATGATTAACTGTCAAGTAGAATCAATCTCATCCACCTAATACCCGATCTGAAATAAAAGGGGACGCTGACGCAGGATCTATCAGCGCCCTAGCAGGATATGAAACTCCTTGGTGAACGATATTCACCATAGCCGTACCTAAAAGTACAAATTTGTTCTGAGCCGTGTAAAACACTTGACGGGGTACACTTTCAGCCGATGTGGATGCTACACAATTTCCCGAATTGGATTGCCTAGAGCTTCCCTTGTGATCTTCCGGATCAAATGACACAAGTTCTCTAATCCATTAATTTGGGATTTTAAAGACTGGAAATTCAATTCCTCATCACGCATAAATTCAAAGCTAGCGTTGGGGTCAAGAGTATTTTCAAAGTTTTTTTTTTTTAAAATCTCTACTACGATAAGTAAAGGTACAACGCCTAAACAAAAATTCGCTCCGAAAAATTAGCCAAAAACCAAATTCTACTTCGCACAACATACGAAGGAGCAACAAATCAACGCAAATTTCTCAAATGTTCAAAATACGTACCTAAAAGCTTCGAAATTTTTAAAAAACCACACTATAGGGCCAAAAATTCGAAAACTTTCGCGAAATAGTTGCCTTGAACCTCTCACACAATAGTGAAAAATCGAAATTTCATCTTCTATTTCCAAAATTATAATCTCCAATGAGATATTTAGCAACTGATAAAAAAGTAACACGAACAATGTGAGGAAATCAATAAATAAATATAAAATTTTTTAAAAAAAATATTAATAAATATTGTGACGACGAAAGTCGGTACCCTCGTTTTCGTCCAACCAATGTTGTTATTATTCTTGTTATGTTTGTTGTTATTTTTGTTAAAAATGAATTACTGAATAAATATGAATTCCCCATTTAATTTGCTGCCCTCGTTGAATTTTTTCCCGCCTGATCGATTGGCCCTCATTGTTGTTTATATGTTTTGTGACATCAAAACAACATACCGTTAGGACAATGCATTTCGTCGACGACCAAAACAAGCAACAACAACAAACCTGCGTAGTTGAAGTAAATGCGTCGCTGACTTGAAAAAAACAAGTAGCAACAACAAGCCGGAGTGTTTGAGTTGGATGCGTCGCTGACTAGAAAAAAACAAGCAGCGGCAGAAGGGCTGTGTTAGAATGGAATGCGTTGGTCATTTGAAATAATAACAAGCACCAACAACATAATTCGGCAAAGTGATGCTGATAGTAAGTCGGTGATGATTGGTTGCTGTTTGTTACAGAAGGGGATCAGGACAATGGTATAAAAGAGGAAAGTGATTGACGGATGGGGATCAGTTGTTTTATCAAAGTGGCAAAGGTGACAAGTGCGTGGAAGTCCAAAACGAACCAAGACCCAGCGAAGCAGTTTCTTTCCTTAGGTGAGTCAGAGTAGTGCAAGCCCCCAAAAAAACCCTTGAAGAGTTCGTATCCCTTGGGTTCTCGGTGTCATAGGTTAACCCTTGAAGAGTTCGTATCCCTTGGGTTCTCGGCTTTTAGCAATAACCCTTGAAGAGTTCGTATCTCTTGGGTTCTCGGTATATTAGACAAAACCCTTGAAGAGTTCGTATCCCTTGGGTTCTCGGTATTATAGGTTAACCCTTGAAGAGTTCGTATCCCTTGGGTTCTCGGCTTTTAGCAATAACCCTTGAAGAGTTCGTATCTCTTGGGTTCTCGGTATATTAGACAAAACCCTTGAAGAGTTCGTATCCCTTGGGTTCTCCGTATTTTAGGGTAACCCTTGAAGAGTTCGTATCCCTTGGGTTCTCGGTTTTTAACGATAACCCTTGAAGAGTTCGTATCCCTTGGGTCTCTCGGTATTTTATTTTCACCCTTGAAGAGTTCGTATCCCTTGGGTCTCTCGGTATTTTATTTTCACCCTTGAAGAGTTCGTATCCCTTGGGTATAGTGTAGGATCATCAGGGCCTAGAATTTCCCGCTCTCCTTTCCCGCTGTAGAACCACTCAAAGGATCAGCTAGGAAAAGGGGTAACTTTTAACCACGAAATTGGAGGACAGGTCTCTACCCGCAGGAAGCGATCGGTGAACTTAACCAGGTCACCGCCGGAGACAAAGGATATACCCAGCCAAATGTGGATCTGAGAATCGGGTGAACTTATCCAGGTCACCTACGAGAGAACGAAGTTACCCGAGCAGCTGTGAATTTTGCCAGGTCACTCCAAAACACGGAAAGAGGCCAGATTTGGTAGCTTTAAGTACTTTTATTGACATAATAATACACGAACTCTCAAAAACGATTCTAATAAAGACCAAACTGAATTAAAAACTCAACAAAACTGTGTTATATCTCTCTCAGTCTCGATTTGTACAAATTTCTGTGACACCCTGGCCTCCGAGAGCTCATCCCAGCAACCGGAGGAAACTTGTGTCGTTACAGTGGCGCCCGAGCAGGGACCTGAGAGAATATAACCGGTCAAGAAGATTAGTTTGAGAGTTCGTTTGTTAATCTAAAAATGCCGTCCACCTTACGTGTTTCCTGGGCCTATACCCTTCGCCGAGAGGACCTTTTATCCTATCTGGAAGAATTTGTATGTCCTATTTCCGGAACGGTAGACGAACTACGACGACGTTTTGCTCTCTTACTCTCCGAGGAGCACGATGAAGAACGTCGGGAGCGGCTTATGGAGTTACAAGAACGACATGAAAAGCCTTCTACCAGCCAGGAAACTAAATTTTTCACTCCTGTAAAGACCACCGGTGTTTCGCTCTCCGTACCCACTGTCTCTACTATTGGGGGTAGTAGTCCGGGGAAGGTGGATCGAACTGAATCCGCCGCAAATACTAGTGCACCGAATCCATTATCTAATCAGGCGGGTTTAGCTACCCACGCAGGCGGAATAGACAGGGACTCCCGGGCACTAGCAGATCAGGTACGGAAATGGAATGTCTCATACGATGGTACACATGGACCACTCGAGTTCATCGAGCGACTGGAAGAGTTGGCCTTCATGTACCAGGTGTATATGAACGAGCTCCCGAGAATGATGCCCGAGGTATTACGAGATAATGCCCTAATCTGGTTCCGTACCAACAATCAACACTGGCACACTTGGAAAACTTTTCGAGAAGACTTTCTTCATTTTTTCTTGCCTTCACAATATTTTGAGAAATTGGAAGATGAAATTAGGAAAAGAAAGCAGAGGCCACGTGAAACATTCAAATCCTACACACTGTGTATGCAGAATCTGATGCGCCATACAACATATAACGAAAATCAGAAACTGGAGCGTATTTTCCGAAACGCCCTACCGGAATACCTATGGTATATCCGTCGTCGCGATTTTCTTACTTTGAAAGAACTTTTGGAAATGGCGGAGGATTTAGAAAGTTTACCTCCAGGAGCGGGCACAGTAAGGGAACAGCACAGATTGTTGGATCCAGTAGAACAACTGGATATCATCGATGCAAAAAACTCTTGCCGTCGATGTGGGCAACTTGGACATTTCGCAGCTCAGTGCAAGAACTCACAGATTCTGTTTTGCTGGGATTGTGGCCGCAGAGGTGTTCGAACGATAGCATGCTGCAGATCTAGGTCGGGAAACGACCACAGGATCCGCCAGAATCGAGGGGAAGCGGGTCCGGGGAAATACATCACCCTCAATTAAACACATCACTACATGTCGAAGCAACAAAACTGGTGGCGACAATAATCCTGGCCGGAAAACAGATAGATGCCATCGTCGACACCGGGGCCACCAGAAATTTTATCAGTTCAAGACTGAGAGATGCAATCCGACAGCAATCGACAACCCTTTCCTATGCCGCTAATGTCACTTTAGCTGACGGATCCCAGCGCCATATTCAAGAGGCAGTGGATGCCGACATAATCTTCGGCACGCGACAGCTGAAACTACGTTTCCTCGTGATGCCAGATACAACGGAAGAATTAATTTTGGGGCTGGATTTCTTATCCAAAATCAGAGCCCGAATCACATGCGCCGGTCTCACGTGCTTGTTTGGCGATACACCGGAAACCCACCATCATCGAACATTGGCTACTTCAGTCGCTGAGGAAAATTCAATCGCCACGGACTCTGGACATCCGGAATCAATGACGGTAAGTGATCAGGACAGAATACGTACATTCTTAGAAAACGAGCTACAAAGTTTCAGTGAGAATCATGGACCTTCAACCGTTGCCACTCATCGTATCACCATGAAAGACGAGAGACCTTTTAAAGCTCGTTATGCCCCTCGAAATCCTGCCATGCAAGCCATAATCGATGGAAAAATCAATGAACTCCTTTCCCTGGGATATATCGAGCCCTCCCACAGTCCTTATAGCTCTCCTATTACCCTTGCACAAAAGAAAAACGGAACATGGAGATTATGCATCGATTTCCGTCAGTTGAACAGTAGGTCCGAGCCAGATGCATATCCGTTGCCCCGCATCGACTCAATTTTAGATCGCCTCAGAGAGGCTAAGTACATTAGCAGCCTGGACCTAAAGGATGGGTATTGGCAAATCCCGCTGGACGCAGAAAGTAGAAAATACACGGCGTTTACTGTCGCAGGACGAGGGTTGTACCAATGGCGAGTGATGCCTTTTGGGCTGCACTCTGCACCGGCTACCTTCCAGCGAGCTCTGGATAGTGTCATTGGACCTGAGATGGAACCCCACGCATTTGCATATCTGGACGATATAATCGTCATTGGAAAAACGTTAGAAGAGCACCTAATGAACCTGAAGGAAGTATTTCGGCGCTTAAGGGAAGTCCGTTTGCGCATAAATCCGGAGAAGTGTGAGTTTTTCAAACATGAGACGAAATATTTAGGTCATGTCATCAGTGGTGAGGGTATTCAGACGGACCCGGACAAAGTAACCGCTATCGAGGGGATGATGGCGCCAACCACGCTCAAAGAGCTGCGCCGGTTTCTGGGAGTAGTATCATGGTACCGAAGATTCATACCGGACTTTGCTACTCTAGCACAACCTCTCACCTCATTATTGAAGAAAGGGAAGCATTGGAAGTGGACTGAAAATCAGCAAACGGTATTTGAGGTTTTAAAAGCCAGACTTACACAGGCGCCCATATTGGCCTGTCCAGACTTTGCACGCAAGTTCACTTTGCAAACGGATGCCAGTGATTACGGTCTTGGAGCAGTTCTTACCCAGTTGTTTGATGAAGGAGAGCGGGTAATCGCATACGCAAGTCGCACACTTAATGGAGCCGAGAAAAATTATTCCGCCACAGAAAAAGAATGTTTGGCTATAGTATGGGGTATTGGGAAAATGCGACAGTATTTGGAGGGCTACAGTTTTCAGGTCATTACCGACCACCTCGCTTTGAAGTGGCTTAACTCTATTGACAACCCTACTGGCAGGCTAGCCCGTTGGGCCCTAGAATTGCAACAATATACGTTTACGGTGGAATACCGAAGAGGGGGCCTGAATGTAGTAGCCGATGCCCTGTCTCGTCATCCAATAGAATCTTTGCAGCGAGCGGTAGAAGATTCTGTTACGCAATGCTCTTGGTTTAAGAGTAAATTCGACGCTGTTACCACAGATCCTAAGAAATTTCCAGATTTTTCCATTGTGGGTTCGCAACTTTACCGGCATATACAGAGAACTACTAACGATGACGATGATACCCCCTGGAAATTATGTGTCCCTTCCTATCTGAGGGATAGAGTCCTACGTGAGAACCATACGCAGCCAGCAGCCGGACATTTGGGGATACGCAAAACAATCCATAGGATATCTGAACGCTATTATTGGCCCGGCATGGTCCGGGATATCACTCGATTTGTGCGAAGCTGTGAACTGTGTCAACGGTACAAACCAAGTCAAACGGCGCCAGCAGGTGAGATGCTGTTATCAGTACCCGAAGAGCCTTGGGCGACAGTATGCGCGGACTTTGTAGGTCCGATGCCGCGCACGAAACATGGCAATTGTATGCTTTTGGTATTTATCGATCGCTTTACGAAATGGATCGAGTTGGTGCCACTTCGGAAAGCCACGGCGGAAGGCGTAGTAAAGGCTTTTAGGGAGAGAATCATGGCACGATTTGGTACACCAAAAGTGTTCATTTCCGACAACGGCACACAATTCACCAGCAGAATTTTGGCGAAATACTTGGAGGAGATTGGAGTGCGTAGGCAATTTACGGCACCATATTGTCCACAAGAAAATCCTACGGAGCGAGCCAATAGGACAATCAAGACGATAATTGCTCAACTGTCCAAGAAGCACAATGAGTGGGACGAGTATCTGCCAGAAATCACGCTGGCCGTAAACACGAGCATTTCCGAATCGACAGGATATAGTGCTGCCTTTTTGGTACAGGGCCGAGAACCCCGACTACCGGGAAGTCTATTCGACGAGGTCACAACCGGCACAGGAGCTCGGTGTGTCAAGCCATCTCAAAGGGCTTCCGAACTTGAAGAAATATTCCAATTGGTAAGGAATAACTTGGCACGAGCCGGAGAAGAACAAAAGCGTAGGTACGACCTGCGCCGGCGCAATTGGAAACCTGTGGTAGGAGATCTGGTACTAATCAAACAACACCCTTTGTCGAAAGCGGTAGAGAATTTCGCTGCTAAACTGGCTTCTAAATTTGATGGCCCTTTTAGGGTTATTAGTTTTCTGTCCCCGGTAATTGTTAAAGTTCATCTTCTGAATGGGAATAACGAGCGAACCGCCCATATCCACGATATCAAACCTTATGTCTCGACTTATAATCCAGAAAAAAATTGTATTATCACTAATAGTAAAATTTTTCCTCCCACCATAACAGATAACCTAAAAGTAACAATGAACGATTCCGAGCAAGGCCCCCGCACAAAAGCATTTTATAAGCAACAATGGCAACTATTGGAATCCATGAGACCATGTTCGGTGCGGCTCACCAAACTGAGTGAGGAAGAGTGCCATGCCGCCCCCGCTCCTGCTGTAGGTGCATCCGTAGGAAGCGGAATGGTTAAGCAGAGGCAAAGGGAACTCCAAGCCTCAGTTACAGGTCGCAACCCTCCTAAGAGGTCTTCAGCCAACCCACCTGCGAGGAAATCTGGGTCTTCCTGCGCGAAGAAAGCTCGGACAAGCTTGCCAAAACCCCCACCTATAGTCCTAGAAACTATCGTTTTGTCGTCCGATGATGATGTCCCAACTACACCACCTCGTAGGGCTCGTGACTGCCCAAACACTCCCTCTCCCGTGGTATCACCAATGTCAGTTGGTAGCCTGTCCCCAACTCTAGGTCGCGGCATTTTTTTGGGCACGGATCTACCCCCCACACCAGGGCGAAACATACCACTATCCACGTCGCCAAGATATGCTCCAGATTCCGATTCGGACATAGAGCGGAACCAACCCCGGGTTAACCATCGGTTGGAACAGTTGAGGAGTCCGAAAGTACCGACCGTGTCGAGTGTTGTGGTAATACCGCCTTCGCCACCCAACTGCAATACAGATGTCCCATTTGAATGCAGAGAGACTCTTCCCGACGATATAATGCACGAGTTGCAGTCGTGTTTGCGGGAAGCTCTACGGCGTGCGGTACCCCACCAGCAGTACAAACGCATTTTTATGATTAGGGGACAGAGGCTGCGAGTTCAGGTCAACAGGCAAGGAAAAGTTTTCGTGGCGATGCGTTAACCGAATGGGGGGAGGTAGTGTGACGACGAAAGTCGGTACCCTCGTTTTCATCCCAACCAATGTTGTTATTATTCTTGTTATGTTTGTTGTTATTTTTGTTAAAAATGAATTACTGAATAAATATGAATTCCCCATTTAATTTGCTGCCCTCGTTGAATTTTTTCCCGCCTGATCGTCGACGACCAAAACAAGCAACAACAACAAACCTGCGTAGTTGAAGTAAATGCGTCGCTGACTTGAAAAAAACAAGTAGCAACAACAAGCCGGAGTGTTTGAGTTGGATGCGTCGCTGACTAGAAAAAAACAAGCAGCGGCAGAAGGGCTGTGTTAGAATGGAATGCGTTGGTCATTTGAAATAATAACAAGCACCAACAACATAATTCGGCAAAGTGATGCTGATAGTAAGTCGGTGATGATTGGTTGCTGTTTGTTACAGAAGGGGATCAGGACAATGGTATAAAAGAGGAAAGTGATTGACGGATGGGGATCAGTTGTTTTATCAAAGTGGCAAAGGTGACAAGTGCGTGGAAGTCCAAAACGAACCAAGACCCAGCGAAGCAGTTTCTTTCCTTAGGTGAGTCAGAGTAGTGCAAGCCCCCAAAAAAACCCTTGAAGAGTTCGTATCCCTTGGGTTCTCGGTGTCATAGGTTAACCCTTGAAGAGTTCGTATCCCTTGGGTTCTCGGCTTTTAGCAATAACCCTTGAAGAGTTCGTATCTCTTGGGTTCTCGGTATATTAGACAAAACCCTTGAAGAGTTCGTATCCCTTGGGTTCTCGGTATTATAGGTAAACCCTTGAAGAGTTCGTATCCCTTGGGTTCTCGGCTTTTAGCAATAACCCTTGAAGAGTTCGTATCTCTTGGGTTCTCGGTATATTAGACAAAACCCTTGAAGAGTTCGTATCCCTTGGGTTCTCCGTATTTTAGGGTAACCCTTGAAGAGTTCGTATCCCTTGGGTTCTCGGTTTTTAACGATAACCCTTGAAGAGTTCGTATCCCTTGGGTCTCTCGGTATTTTATTTTCACCCTTGAAGAGTTCGTATCCCTTGGGTCTCTCGGTATTTTATTTTCACCCTTGAAGAGTTCGTATCCCTTGGGTCTCTCGGTATTTTATTTTCACCCTTGAAGAGTTCGTATCCCTTGGGTATAGCGTAGGATCATCAGGGCCTAGAATTTCCCGCTCTCCTTTCCCGCTGTAGAACCACTCAAAGGATCAGCTAGGAAAAGGGGTAACTTTTAACCACGAAATTGGAGGACAGGTCTCTACCCGCAGGAAGCGATCGGTGAACTTAACCAGGTCACCGCCGGAAACAAAGGATATACCCAGCCAAATGTGGATCTGAGAATCGGGTGAACTTATCCAGGTCACCTACGAGAGAACGAAGTTACCCGAGCAGCTGTGAACTTTGCCAGGTCACTCCAAAACACGGAAAGAGGCCAGATTTGGTAGCTTTAAGTACTTTTACTGACATAATAATACACGAACTCTCAAAAACGATTCTAATAAAGACCAAACTGAATTAAAAACTCAACAAAACTGTGTTATATCTCTCTCAGTCTCGATTTGTACAAATTTCTGTGACACTCTGGCCTCCGAGAGCTCATCCCAGCAACCGGAGGAAACTTGTGTCGTTACAATATATTTAAAAATGATAAAATTTTCCAAAAATTGTATATTTTACCGATAATTTTCCAAAAAAACGTTTTACGCGAACAAAAAATTCAAAATATATTAATTTTTACTCTTTTTTCACGGTTCGCCTGTAATACACCGAACGATAGAAAGATATCAACGCCTGTGATCATCAGCCGTGTGCCTACCACTGCGTTTGTATGTTTGTATACCGATCACTAGCAAACAACCAAACAAACCAATGTAATTGCTGCGTGTATTTTTTGGGGGTGATTTTAATTAATACTTAAATTGCGAAAAATACAAATTTGCAAAAAAATTAAAAATTTTTTAATTTCAACTATATCGATCGATAGGAAATTTTACGTACATGAAAGAGACACACGACAATAATATTTTATTTTCACAGAAAATCCAAAAAAACCTTTTTAACAATTATTTTGGTTTATTTGTTTTTTATGATTTTTTTTTCGAATGCCGACGGCAAAACAAAACTTGAAAGCGGGGGAACGGGTAAGTGAAGCGTTGCAGAACGGCCACTGAACAAATAAACGACACGATTGTTGTTGTTTTATACATATTTATACCCTCCACCATAGTATGGAGGGTATATTAAGTTTGTCATTCCGTTTGTAACACCTCGAAATATACATTTTAGACCCCACAAAGTATATATATTCTTGATCAGCATAAAATTCTATGTCGATTTATCAATGTCCGTCCGTCTGTGGAAATCACTCTAGCTTCCGAACGAAATGAAGTAGGTTGATAAAATTTTACTCAAATGTGTACAATGTCTGCAGGACTTTTGGTATTGAAAATGGGCCATGTAGGTCCACGTCTTCGTATAGCCCCCATATAACGGTACCTCCCGATATGCGGTATTTTGATGATTCTAGCGACATTTTTTACTGGAATTGTTTCAAAATTAATATTTAAAGTTCATAATAGATGCTACGGCCTAAGACAGAAAATGGGCCATGTAGGTTCACGTCTTCGTATAGCCCCCATATAACGGTACCTCCCGATATTCGGTATTTTCATGATTTTAGCGACATTATTTACCGGAATTGTTACAAATTGGTATTTGACGTTTTTAATAGATACTACAGCATAAAACAGAAAATGGGCCATGTAGGTCCACGTCTTCGTATAGCCCCCATGTAACGGTACCCCCCGATATTCGGTATTTTGATCATTTTAGCGACATTATTTACCGGAATTGTTTCAGTTTTAGTATTTGAAGTTCGTAATGAATACTACATCCTAAGACAAAAAAAAAAAAAAATGAGTCATGTAGGTCCACGTCTTCGTATAGCCCCCATATAACGGTACCTCCCGATATTCGGTATTTTGATGATTTTAGCGGCATTATTTACCGGAATTGTTTCACATTTTGCATTTGAAGTTCATAATGAATGCTACAGCCTATCACAGAAAGTTGTCTGTGCAGGTCCACGCCTTCGTATAGCCCCCATATAACGGTACCCCCCCCCCCCCCCGATCTTCGGTATTTTCATGATTGTAGCGACATTATTTACCGGAATTGATTCAAATTTCGCATTTGAAGTTCGTGAAGTTCGATATTGCAGCCTATGACAAAAAAAAAGGCCTGTGCATTATAAACACATTTTTTTTTCAAGTTTCGCATTTGAATATTGTAATAGCTTGTGACAAAAGTTGCCTATGCAGGTCCACATGCTCGTATAGACTCTAACATACGGCTACATTAGGTATTTTCAAGATTTTAACAGATTTTTAACGGATTTTACTTTAATTTTTTTTGAAGATTGTTAAATTTGTACCAAATGGTGGAGGGTATTCAAAGTTCGGCCCGGCCGAACTTACAGCTTTTTTACTTCTTTCTTTTAATTCTTTCTGAAAGAATATTATTTTTTCACAAGGCACCTTTTCACTGTACGTACCTGGTTGTTTTTTTATGGAAACACGATGATGATGATGTGTGGACTATATGTTATTGTTGATTTGTTGGTGAAGATGCTTTGCAAAAGAAGAAAACAATTAATTTATTGTTGCCGGCAGCTAGTTATCCCGTCCGAAGTGACCAATGTTTGCGCCAATGCGGGGAAAGGGGGAATTGCAAAGGAAACCAATATAAAATAAAATAAATAAAACCACACGATATCGGGGTTAGTTTTTAATATAAAATAAGGCCATTTGCCACTCGTTGAAATCTGTTGACATTGACAGATTTCAACGATATTAATAATTTACAAGTAATTAGATTGTTAACGGAGCAAAATAATAATTTTCAATCTGAATTAAACAAATATAATGAGCTGTCACTGGTAATTTTAACAGCTGTCGGACAATTGGCTTAGAAACGAAAGCAGTCTGAAGTTTGTTGCAATTTTTCCATTTCACCCTGTATTGTGCCGGTTGTTGCATCTCCAGAAACTAGTTAGGGACGGGAAATTGGGGCTAAGTGACCTCTAGACAAGCAATTTCTGCAATACCCCTGACGCTCCACTGCCTCATACCACTGGAAGGTTGTCTGCCTGCAGAACTTTTCACAAGCACTGAGGGCATGGTCTTCTTGGCATAGTCCACATGAATATTGCCAGTAACTGGGTCTTTCACTGTGGCCGGGGTCTTACGTCAGATCTGCTCCTCTGTCGCCTTTCACTGGGTGTGGAACTGGGGCTTCTGTTGTGTCTATGGCCTGGTCTGCTGGGACTGCGTTGGATTTGTCGTAAGGGTCTGCTGGCGCTTCGTGCTGTTGAACGGGCAGGTGAGTCTGGGCTACGTCTGCGATCGTCTAGACGGCAGTCCTGGTTGGGCAAATAAGCGGCCATATCTGAAAAAACCAAAGGCGAGTACTAAGTTCTCTTTTGAGTGATAATCCAACTAGTCAGTCAGAAAATAATTTGACAATTTTTGTTGTGGGTCTGCTAATGTTGTCACTTGTCGTCCGTATTGACGTCCAGATACGTTTTTTTTCGATACGACGCGACTTCCATTCATGCGGAACCAACCTATCATCTGTTACGACAACTAAATCTCCTTCTTTGATATCCTCTTTTTCATATTTCCACTAAGTTCTTCTGTGATGTTCGTGAAGATATTCTAATTTCCATCTGTTGGAAAAATATAAAGAAATAACTTTGAGTCTTTTCCAACGATTCACTACCTTAAATTTGTATCTGAAATGTCTGGTTCAGCTGAGGTAAGAATAGATGTTCCTATTAAGAAATGACCAGGAGTGATAGAGAAAAGGTCATTGCAGGACTTAAGGGTCGCGAATTAAGACAGCCTTTAATTCTTGCTAAAATAGTGGTAAACTCTTCAAGAGTGAAATTCAAATTTTTCGCAAATGAATTTTGAATGATTTAACACCAGCTTCCCACAAGCCGCCCATGCGCGGAGAATCAGGAGGAATAAATTTACAAGTAAGATTTTGAACGAAGTTATTTTGAATATTCTTCATGAAAGCTAATCGATCTCGTTTTAAT